TGAAGCAGACCCTTGACGTGCGCTAATTGACTTCCGAAGTCGCAGTGCTCCAAATTAAGCATGACTAAGAGCAAGTCCACGTGGCAGCTGCCATGATATTGTTGCAGAAATCAGCGAGCAAGTATCTTGCAACAATTTCAAGTTGCTTCTTTCAGACCTGTTCACTCTTTAGGACTTCCCTACAGAATGTAAGTCCCCGTTCTTTTCAGATCTTTTCAGAACCTGGAGTTTTCCGATGTTTTCCGCATATGGAAAGACTGGCACCCGCGGCGCCTCGTCATGCACTTGCGGCTAGACAGTTTATGGTCAAATGGTGACAGTCGCTCCGACGGGGTTTTTATCCCAAGAGAACGGGCTGAGGCGGCCGGAAAATCAAAGCCTTACCATTTGCAGTGCATCAAAAAGCCTTGTGATATATATAAACATTTTAAGATGCCTTTGGCAACTCAACTCAACAACTTGCCCTTGCACAAGTTGCAGTGCTTTGGCCTGGTCATGCTAGGCATGTCTTTGCTTGACCCTTCACTTTGCAAACAGTCTACAGCAACGGGAGCTCTGCCCAACTTTGTGTGTTGGAACAACACTGCAAAAGCCGACTAGCATGTGCATTGACGCCACCTTTAGTGCTACACGGTGTGGCATTTAGAGGCATATGCCCGCCTGTAGGAAGTAGACATTTTTACCAAGCGTCAGCTTCTTCAACTTCAGTTCAGGCTGAGCAAACCCCAACCCCCAAATACTGCAATTGAAGTGGTGAACCACACAGAAACTTTCTCCACCAATTTTTCAACCCACTAAGGGTGCTTCTTCGCATGTCCAAGCGAACCACCGATTTAGGCCACAAATCCACGAGCGAGTGCTAAACAAACCGAGAGTTGCATCCACCCAGTGAGACCGTACAAAGATTGCGGTCAAAGCCAGCTTTCCAGCTTGTGAACATGGCCAGGCAGCTTGCGCATGGGCATGTGGTGATGTGTCAAATTCCCATGTTGAATGAATGCATCTGTTTCTGGGAGGCCCCTGCCTCACACCCGCACCCCCCATCCTGTGGTTCTCACCAAGGTTTCAAAGTCCATGCATTGATGTACAATGAACAGCTTTCTGCGACATTTTGTCAGCTCGGTGCACGAAACCCACTTCGCTGGTGTTTCGAGAAGGCTTTAGGTGTGGGCTTCTTGAGGTCCAATCTTTCGAGGTTGGACTCATTGAAGCTCTGAACGGTTGAAGCTACGTAAAGTATGTGCTGGGCCTGCTTCTGTTTACGTCAACGGAAGCATTGCAAGGCGTTGGCAGCTAGCAGCTAGCATGCAAAGCTTAGCCTTTGTAAATTAGGCATCGCCCAGACTTAACATGACTTCTGTCTCAAATCTGTCCCAGTAGCATCCTTGCTGAATATCACAGAAGATCACGGAAGCCTCAATCAAATCGTCAGGCCGTTCACTCTTGTTGGCATCTGTAGCCGCTATTGACCAGATCCGCTCACAAGCGTGCCGCAACCAGTTTAATTACAATGCGCAAATCTGAAATTAAAGCTGCTGTTCAGATGCAGCGATGCAGCAGCATTTGCATCCCTTCGCGACCATGGCACCCAAAGGACCAGGGACTGCAAAATAGTCAAAATAGTCAAGAGATGCAACAAACAAACACCAACTGAAAGAAAACTTCAAAAATAATAAGTGTTTGGAAAAAGCGGACATACAAACATACAGTTTTGTATTTTGTAGAGTATCCAGGCCACGGAAATCTAGAGTCTACCTGCTTTCCAATGTTGTTTGAAGTGGCGCAAGTGTTTGAGCAATGCTGAGAACATCCTTGTCTCCGTCTGCGGTTTGACAAATGAGGGCCGTATAGCAGCGGCTCCCCTGCAGGAATTCAAGGATGACTTGCCTCTACACTCACTCCCGTGTCACCCATCTTGACCACTCTTGAAACACTTCGCATATTTATATACAATGTCACAGCAATGCGTAGGCATAGTAGATGCATAGTTTCACTGCCCTATTTGTGCCAAAGAACTCTTTCAATATCTTTCAATGTGCTCTTCCACCAGCTTCTCGCTCCATTGAAGCATTGCCTTAATGGAAGGCCAGTGCAAGCAACCCCTGTGGCTGAAAGCACATTCAGGTGTCGAAACTGCATTGTAAATCGACATTGTGAGCAAAGGAAAGGTCATGACGAGTCATGACATGTATTCATTCATGGGTTTAAAATCATCTTTGTCAAGGTGGGCCTGATCAGCATCTAACATGTTGAACAACCAACAGGAACAAGAGGAAGACATGTCAAGAGCCTTTGCGAAGCTGTTGCACGTGGTCGCCGGTAGTTGTGTTGCTTACAGCTGTTTTGAGAAGAAATCCACCAAAAAGAATGTGGACTATCAATATATCTATATATGGCCCTGGCCACTTGAGGTGATTAATGGCCATTCAACCATACCTGGACTGGCGCAAGGTTCCGTACCTTATACTGTGTATACAAACCACCTGAGCCCCCCGGTCTGTGCACCAACAGCACCAGTCCGCCTCCATCCTTCGAGAGATGCACAAATAGGAGACTAAACTACTGTATATAGATCAAAACTGCAATATAAACATTCCTAAGAGATGCGTCAGTGATAAATGCTGAACATTCAATCTTTCTGGAGGCTGCGTTGCGCGGCTTTCGCCAACTAGGCTTGCACCATGTTCAACAATTAAGACACTCCAACACCGCACGTCCTTCGGCAAGCTGGAACGAAATGAATCAACCGAGATCCGCTCGTCGGTGCCCAACTAGAACCGAAGGTGCCCCACTTCGAGGTGCTCACCCACCCCCGTGACGCTCTTCGACCTGGGATCCGAAGAACATATGCCCAAAACGATAGATTTTAAAAAAATAGAAATTGACTTTTGACGTCGTAAACAAACTTTTTTGCAAAATTACATGAAATTACGGTGATCCGTTACTGCCCTTGAATGTGTTCGCCACAGCTACATGTCCCTATTCTCTGCAGGGCACATCGACAAAAGTGTTTGGAAGTTGGAAGGTCAATCAAGCCGCGAAGAAATCAACCGGTGATGCAACTGCTCCCTGGCGCCAGGAGCAGCCAAATTCCTGGCTCATTCCCCAAGCCTTGTTTTAGTTGCAGGCCACTGGGTTTGGCGATCGTGAAATGGAATAGGGCCAATAGGCCCCTCAGGTCTTGCGGGGTTGGTAGTGTCACGAGTCATTTTGAAGTTTGCAGTGGCAAACCGTTGACATGTCGTAGAACCAATTGCTAGGAGTTATTTCTGCAAATTTTGTGGCAAGGGTGGCAAGGCCACTTGGACATTGTACCTTCTCGTTGACAAGTCACCGCTTCGGGACACTCGTAGGTCAGTACACCGCAACACCGAACTTCCCCCAGCCGACCAGCAAGATTGTTTTCCCTCATGGAACTACGCCCCCCAACTGTGCCAGAAACTCACCCGAAGTGCTTTCCTGCCAGAAACGCCAGCTGAACGCAAGGTGACGCGAGTTACTATGCGAGTTCGGGGTTTGTGAGTTACTCTGAAGGACCTGGACTGCTCCCAAAACCATGCAGCCTTTGACCCCCTTCTGCTCGACTCCGCACCAGCTCGGTAGGTATAGCTCGGTCCAGTGAGAAGTACCAATTGTCGGGAACTTCAGAACCTGTCATGACAAGCCCTCACCGTCCAAAGGAAAACCAGCATTGACATTGATCTTTAGTGAGGCCCTCTCCTGTTTGCTGTGGTCCGGCCCAGGGTGCCAATTGCTCAATCGCGCGCTTTTTATCGATCCTGTCAGGGGGCCATAGACAAAGAGCGCCGCTGAACTGCGTCCAACACCCCCATCCATGGCTGGTCGCTGGTCACAATGACCACTGACTCGGCAAGGATGTCAGAGGGGATCCCCTTCGAGGAGCCGTGCTCATGAGAAGTTATATAAGTGTCATTGTGCTTCTTATTCCGCATAACTGAGCAGTGCTTGTGAACTAGTTGCGGTAAAGCCCTCGAACCGCTCTTCTGTCTCCATCTCTTGCCCCTTGTGTGAGAGAATTCTATATAGTACTCCTGGCATCGCTACTAGGAACAAGAAGCTACAGCTACTGTATAGGGGCTCCTGGCATCGCTACTAGGAGCAAGGACGCTACTAGGAGTAGTCTTCCTTGTGACCCTGCCATGCCGCACCACAATTGAAAACCGGGTCGTACGGCCTTTCACTTGGCGTGACTGTGCGCAGATTCCTGGAGTGATCGATACCCCACCGTGGTCCAAAACAATCGAAACACAACTACAGTATCAAACAAACTTTCTGAGAGCAACCCGCAGCAACCCGATATCCCAATTCTTCGTTCCACACTTTCAACTTTCTCAGAAAACTCTCCTACGAAATCCTGCGAATGTCGCTTCAATAGCAAATCGTACCAAAGGCTTCCAACACCTTGAAGCCAGAAAGCTTACACATGAGGCTCTCTCCGGTTTAGAAACAAAAATAATTGGCCATGAACTGCTCATTCTGCCCTTAGCAGCTCAACTCCAAGGCACTTTTTACAAGCAACGCAAGTCTCTTCAGATGTGCCGGGAGCGGCCGTTTGACCTGGAAAATCCCCACACATCTCTGCAAGCTGGCAAGCTTGTTTGGCGAAGTTTTCAGGCTGCCTGCAGACCCAGGGCAATGAGAGTGGCTACAGCTTGTTCTGCGCACTCTCAATGGCAAAGTCTACCACCAAGGGCCGATGGTCTGACAAGGTGGCTGCTGGTTCCTGAGAGTCAAGGAAGGTCATGGCCCAAGCTGACGTGCATCGAATGGAACGAGTCTACAATTACCATCTGGACTCCGGAGACATCTGCATGAGCCTGACTGAATCTATACTATGTATATATATATATAAGATTATGCAGTAATATGCAGTAATATGTAAGGACGAACGTCGAGTGACCTGGGACTACAATCCAGAAGCCTTGCCAAGTAACATCACCCCAGCCACTGCTGCTGCCTTAATCGATGATGTACGGTACTTATGGACCAGCTGTCTGACTCCCACTCGCTTGGAATGTGAAGCAACCATGAATGAGTGCGAAAGCGCGACTCGGGTGGCTGTGAGGAAGAGAACATCGCGACAACGACATGCTGTTCGAAAACATGATCTCTGAATACGCCGAAGCACTCCACGACACATCCAATGGCAAATTGGATGGGTGGAGAAATGCATCTCTGAGTTGTAGTCGGGCGTTGGATTGGTATAGCACCTCGCTGACAAAACCGAAAAAGTGGCAATGATGCAAGCCCAGGCACCAATGCTTATCAGTTATATATAATATATATATTTTTTTTAAAAAAAAAATATATATATATACTACACATATGAAAGTTGTCTTGCAAGCATGGGCCAGGCAACAACCATGCAACCAAGCTACATAGTCTGCACAACCATCTTGGGCATAGCTGCAGGTGTGCGAAATTGGCCTGACTCCTGGTTCCAGTCCACCAATGCTGATGATGCTGAAATGGCTGCCATTTCCGGCTCAATCACCCGGCTGTCCACTGATAATACTCTAATAATATATATATACATATCATTATACCCCATACGAGGATAACTTGTGGTCGGTGGGCTACCACACACATTTGGCTTGCTCATACTGTGGAGTGGAACGCCAAGATTGCGTTGTGTAGAAGCAGTCAATCCCTGTCCTGGATGTTTGGTATGTAAGGCTGAGACAAAGCCGCTCTCAAAAGCCATGGTAACCGGACGATTCACCAGCTCCGGCCTCAAGTGGCTCAGGTCCCGTTTGGAAAGTAAAGGTTTAAAGTCAAGTTCCAGGACTTACAAACTGCTTTAGTCTCGTCTCGTGTCTACTTTGGAGTCAGGTCTGAACTTGGAAACCTCAAGTCATTAGTGGACAAGTTGTCCTGCAAATCCCGCATAGAAACCGACATGGGTCTTGTCAGTGCCACGTGGCGGATATGCGCCAGAAGGTTCTCTCTCCAAATGGTCCGAATTCATGTCCTTGGCACTCGCTTCAGGCGAATCACTTCAACCTGCGGACACAAACCCAGGACTTGGTCTACCATAAATTATGTACAAAGATTGAATACAATGCGGGGATTCGTCCATCCATGTCATGCCAACAGACTTATGTAAGCCAAAGGGCTGCACAAATAAAGACCGCATCGCAGCAAGGAGCGGAGAGCAAACGACGCAAAACCTGGCAAGCTGAACATCAACATGCATCGGCATTCTCTCGTGATACATTTGACCGCCTGCGTGCTCTGCTTGAAAAGTGCACCTATAATAGTTTTGGATAGTTTTGGTATGTTTTGGGGGTCCTCTGGCCGTCTTTGGCGTCTGCGTCAGCATCCTCCCTTTGGGTTCACCTGCTCCATCTGCCGAGGTCTGCAGAATGGAATATCATGACCTTAGCATCGGGACCAGGCTCTGATCCCACTTGTGTCCCACAGTGGGGTTGGTCAACGAGCAGGACATGTCCAGGTCTGAAATGTCCAGATTGTGCACAACTGCCACCGAACTCTTTTTCCCGAATCTTCTCCATTTGTTGGTTCATCTGGCATAGATAGCATTATGTAGGAAAGGAGTTGTTTATCATGTTTAATTTTCATAGTTGGTTCCCCTCCCCTTTCTTGCAATACGTAGATCCCTCTCTCTCTCTCTCAGCTTGGTGTCCCAAACTGTTCGATGCGTGAGCCACTGTGAGGTGTGTGTTGGCAACCAGGATCCTGCCCAGCGCACATGAGAATCAGAAAGCCTTAATCCCGTTTGAGGGAGACATGGTTACTCCCTGATTAAAAATACACACACACATATATATATATATACATAACATATATTGAAATTGTGCTTGATGAGGTTCTGCTACATGTTGAGACAAATGCAAAGTACTTATTCGGGAGGCCATTCCTACCAATGGACACCCCCACCTGCAGCCACTCTCCACATGGGTGATCTTGGCATACATAGCCACTCTATCCTCAGGGGAATTCGGCTGCAAAGACTAATGCCATGAGCGGAAGCAAAGAATCTAGCTGTTTTCAACAGCAAACTTTGCAGCCTGCACGTGTTCGAAATTGATTGAGCAACCAAATGGAACTACATCCCTCCAGCAACCCCATGCACTGAGCAGGTGCAAAATTCCTAGTTCTGCATGAGAACATAGATTACAGTTCAGTCAGCATTTGCTTCCCGGGTCGTGCAGCTCTTCCCTGACAGTAATTATGCTTCAAAACAGCACATCACCGGCAAGGTTCGCAAAAGTCTGGTTCTAGGTCTTCGCATTGTACCTGCCAACAGTTGGACGGAGATGGATGAAGGCTCTCACGCGATCAGCGGTTTTTGGACTGATCGGCCGCTGAACCCCTTGGTTGACACTTGGCAGGTCGACACACCGACGCTGAAAGTTCTGGCTGGCCATGTTCCATGGTTGCATTCCTGTTGCATTTGAAAATTAGCTAAATTAGCAAAACCTTAATTATCGATAATTATGGTTTCATTGTCAGGCTTTGATACTTATGGCCGATGCAAAGCCTGATTTGTGCTCAATGGCTTAATCATGCTTAATCTGTGCCCCTGCTGCTTCAATCTGTGCCTCAATGTCTTTGAAGGCAGCCCGACGGATCAGCAATGCCAAGCCCTCGTTCTTGCCACCAGTTCCTTGGTGTCCAAAGCATGCAAGCCGAGGAAAGCATTGGCTTGAAAGAGAACTGGTCCCCAGTCCCCACTACTATACATAGGAATGCTGAATCAACTTGGGAATCATGAGTTGATTGGCAAAAGTCACTTGGCGCACTGTTTAACCATTTAGAGCATACAAGAATATTGACCACTTGCAGCACCTGATAAACACACAGGACGCGTAGTGAAGCGTAGCAAGGCTCTTTGCTTGATGTGGAGCTCGTAGACCGCTCCAAGCTTGCTTTCGTACCTTTGCTGGAGGTGGTACGGTGCTGCAATGGCTGTGGGCTTCAAACACAATTTGACAAACAATGTCGGGACATAGGGAGGGAAACCAACAAAGTCAACAAGTAATTGAAGAACAGCAAAGCACAGGACCCCGAAGCCAGGAGTTTCAGCTGCAAAGTCGAATTCTTGTAGGCAAATCACATCCTCAGTTGGTGCTGACGTGGCGATTGCTTCAACATCCGGGCCAAACAGGTCTCCTTTGCAATCTGAGACAGGGCCTCCGAGCTTCAAGTTCTTAAATCTGAGCACCAGCAGAATTTCTAGTCCTGGTGTCGTCCACACCCGAAAGCCCCCAGGAGACTGTTGTTTGAGCTAAGATGCCGCTCCCAGTTGTAGGAGGCAGTCACATATTGCCGAGTGTCGCTCCTTTGCAAGACGGTTGTTCCAGCTGCAATGATTCTGCGATGTTTGATACTTTCTGGTCATCAATGATGACCAGAAAGTATCAAACATCGCGGGTGGTCGCAGGTGTAAAGAGTCATTCCAAAAAAATGAATTCCAACCCCAATTGCGCTCCTGCCACGGCATGCGATGTAGCGGTGCACAGATTCGGGCCGAAGGCGCCAGTACATTGAAGCTACAAAGCCGCAAGTGGCTGACGCCATGGCCACGGACGCTGGCCATGGAACCCCCAATGGCAAGAGCCCTGAGTTGGGTTGCAAGTCTGGAAGTTTATCCAATTCGAAGCTTGAAAAACTCAGTTCGTCATCGGAGGCTGATGATAATGCTGGCCCCCGTATCCTTGGTTTGTTTGTGGAAAGGTCCTGCTCAATTCAGATCCTTGGCATTGAGAAATGTGTAAGTGAAGGGGGTGGATCGGAAAATGCAAAGGCCTACTTGGATGCCAAACTGTGGCTGGTTGGTCAAACCACGCCTAATTCTCGGAGATTTGGCCGTCATAGTGTGTCCTGCCTTGTTTTCCAGTACGGCCCATGGCTTGAGACTGAACACTGCGCCTGCAATTGTAGTAAACATTGGTTTTGCAGTTTTGCAGCTGAAGAATGACCCGACCACGACATCGTTGATGACCTCGGCAACCTTTCCTGGAGAGTGGTCTGTACCAATTCAAGGTCTCTCCGCTCTCTCCCACAGTGTTTTCATGTGTTTTCAAACGCTTCGCGCCTTCTGATCCACCTTCCAACGCTCAGAATTGTTGAGCAGCTTTAGCTTCAAGTATCCCTGGAGGAATTCTGGTGTGAATATGGCAGGAAATCTAGCAGCTCGACACCCGGTGAGAGCCGTTGAAGAAAGAATCTAAAGATAAAGGACCATGTTGAGCCCAACGTGGGTTGAACCAACACCGCGAGATCCTTTGGAAGAAGGATGTGAAGCAACCTGCGACACTTGGCAGGTGGCAAACAATTTGGATGATGGTGTTTGCATGGTGCTTGTGAGGCCACGTACCCACTCGCACAACCAGCTTCAGCTCATCTCCCACAATTTCATTCGACACTGCCACCAACTGGCACATAATGTTTTGCAGGCAGCTCTCCTAGTGCATTTCAGCTTGAGCAAGGACTCAACATTCAGGCTTGTGATCTACTCGAAACTTGGCTTCCAGCATACCACCTGTCTCCAAAATCTCATCAGCTAGAAGTGATCAATTGCTGGAGAAAGTGCCTCGCCATTCTTGTTGCCACTCAGCGCGCGTCTTCCCGCTGTTCTGGGTGCAAGAGCAGCACCCAAGAGGACGAGCCTCAAGGAGACCGTCTGCAATCAACAATGACTGGCACCCAAGTCATCGCGCAAACATACAACACAAAAGAAAGATATCACCGTGTGCACATGTACAGGGATGCTCTGTGCATCTCTGTGCCCACAAGTCTTTCATTTCGCAGCACTTGGCGGAAGCCAAACTTGATTGAATAGACGGTGAGACAACTACCTTATGGAAAAAACATGAGGACAATTTAACTGTTTTAGAAACGAGATGCGGTTGAAGGTACGAGTAGGTCCAATTCAAAAGAGTGGGGAGACCAAACCACCTGGCCACACAGGGCATCTCAATGGTTTCAGAAGCAGGTCCTTCACCTGTCCTACACCTACCTGAATAATCTAAATAAGTTCTCTTGGAGTGCGAGCAGGTTCTCCATCTACATGTCTGGTCTTGAACCTTGCAATGCAAACGCAACTCTTAAGGAATTCAATTGACCTACAACGCATTATACTAATTACATGCAACTAATTATGTTGCGTGCGTATGTGCATGCAATTATGTTGCGTGCGTATGTGCATGCGACACTTCTAGCCCTAAAGTGTCCTCGAGAAAGTTGATTGAATCATTGCCAAAATAATTCAAGTTCATGCACACAGCAAGAAGGTAGAGATTGAGGGTATGAGTGCGACATCTGAGCAGCCGAACTGAACAGGTCTCACCAAGCTTGGGTTGCACATGGTTACAATGGCTACACTCTTACCAAGGTCTGCGGCCCACCACCCAGGCAGTTGAACGTGGCGAAGGTAGCCCAATGATGCCAGGCCAACACGCCAAAACCACTGAGCCTAGCCGCAAAAAGCTTCATCCAGATTCATGTTAACCCATGTCACATCTTAAGACTTGTTGCACAACATTCACAAAGCGAATGTACCCATATGGCCATATGGCTGTGGGTCAAAACCTGGAGCCCCAACCCTGGTAGGTTGACATTTTTTTAGTAGTCTAATCGGTTCATTTTCAATTTACAGGGGTCTGGGTCAACCAGGGTCTCCTGGTTTTGACCCACATATACAGTCACAACCAGTCATAACCTCTTGGGGCCAGTGCTGAGCCAAACCTGGTGCGAGAATGGAAGCTGAGCGCGCTGCGCCAAGGATGCACTGGCCGCTGTCTTGACCTGCACCGGGCGACGCTTGTGTACTACACATCTCCAACTCACGAACAGCAGCTTACGGGTGGCACGTTCCCTTCAAGCTATATATATATACTATCATCAAAGGGGTTTGAGGTGGTCAACCCTAAAAAAAGAGAGAGAGAGAGAACAAAAGCACATGGCAAACTCACCCTGCAACAACACCAAACTCTCCCGTTCCTTGTCGACAGCGGCGTTGCTCTCGACACTAGCCTCACGACCGGGCTTAATATACCATGGTCTTAATAGACCAAATAAAAAATTTAAAAAATGGACTGCAGGCAGCATCAATCCATGAATAACAAATCATGCAGGGATCCAATCAATCCCTACCGCTCTCCGCCCTGACAACAATTCCTAGGTCATCAAACTACACCTCTAAATCACTTGCAATATCGTCACACCTGATAGAGCTCGCGAGGGGTGAAGACTTTTCTCTTGCTCTCTGACGTCTCTTCCTTCTCCTCCTTGGCACCTGCATGCCTTGGAGGCGATCCGCAACTAACGGACACCTACTGTACCTCGTGCGGTTCCTGCAACAAAGATCAAAACCAATCAAATGGGTACCAATATGGTGCCGGATCATCTGCCTGGAAACCTCACTTGGGGCAAGTTTATCGGATTCACTTGTTCGACCCTCTTACGGAAGATTCTTGACACTGGTGACCAGTTGGTTCCATGGCTTAGCGGGCAAAATATAGCTCGCCTCGTCACTATGGACCTGCAAATCCAGAAACACAATGCCTCAATTATCGGCAAAAGTCAAAAGTATTCAACAGTATATATATATAATATATATATCGAGCAGCTGCTAAGTTTCCTCTCTATTCTTGATTCCTGTGCCCCTCTTCCCTTCCAAACCATGGTTGGGAAAGAATTCCATCCAGGTAGCTCCTCTTGCGGCGGCACATCTCCTTGCGATGGCTGTGCATCAGGGGCGCCAGGATCTTCGCCTGCTACAGCTGGCGGGGAAACCTCCTGACCTGCTCAGAACGGATGGACATGACAGTGTTCTCCGCTCACGATTTAGCTTGGAAACCAAAGATTGATGCCCCAAGGGCAGCTGGTATGCAAACTGCTAGAACAGGACCCAAACCTAGGAACAACAGAAACAACGTGCGCTCGCTAGAAAAAGAGACTCCTGCTAAATTTGCCACCCACTATACATCCACCGTGTGATAAGGTGGGATGAGAGAATGGCTTGGCGGCCTGGCTGAGTAAAGATGGTAACGACTTGATAACGTAAATGCATATTACGGCAAAACATCACTTTGGACATCAGAAGCTGGAAAGGACTCAAGCGCAACGAAGTCTCTTCTTCCATCTCTTGGCCTTGAGCTTCTCCTGATGGCATGGAAGACCCCATACCTGAAGACGAACAATACCAGAAGCCGTTGCTTTCGCTTGGAGTGCAATGTCATATGAGGTGAATTAAGAGATGTTAAGAGGTGACCTAGTACCACCTGCCTCCGTTAGTTGTGACATGTAATTGCTTTCAACCTCACACCCAAGCATGCCTAAGCCCTAAGCAATGCTACTCTACTTGGCAAAATTGGCAGCAAACCGATGGCATTCCAAACAACCGGGCACGTGCTCCCAGTACTGATGGCCTGGCAAGGCAATCACGTCCGGGCGGAATGATGTTTGGCTGGAATATGTCCACCAGCAGTGCCTAACCAGTTTACATTCTACATCTACATTCGACATAAGCTCCACTAGCATACAACGGAACACCAAATCATTCAATATCAACTATCAAGGAAACACACACCACAATGCAAGCGGACCAATCCCACGTTTAATAGACAGGGAACGATATCTACACCAGGCCGCCTCCAGTGCCGAGCTGCTGCAAAGAACCTTAACTGATCATGATCAACTCAAAACCTTGAAGTTTCCTCTTGGAAAGCTCGTAGCATCCAAGACCTATACAAGGCCTTCTTTCGTGGCATTCTGGTCAATCACGCATGGGCATGGCAAACAACACTACGTAGTGGGTCGTCCATGCTGCATGCTTCAAAAAAATGTCAGAATCAATTGAATTGACGCTGCCGGTTCAAGCTGTGAAATTGCTTGGACTTGCAGCGACAGAGCCACTGTCAAGAACCCAAACAACTATTTCTCCTCGTTTGGCAAGCCGAAGAAATCCCTCTCGCCTTGAGAGGATGTAGCCGTGGCGTGGGGTCACAAGCATTCCCCGACTCACCAGGCGTTGGTTCGAAACTGCCAGCAGTAGGTGTACCAGTGTACCAGTTGTATGCTTGGACAAGTCGGACATGTTCATGCTTTACTGCTTCCGATGGGCTCTTCCGAGACAAGGCAGAAAACATATCCTTGTCTGCAAGTGTTCGTCCTGAATGAGATCTTTATTTCAAAAAAAAATACGGTGCAGTGTGCATGCCAAAGCTTCTTGGAGTCCATGATTGCTGTAGCATGATTTTGCTTCGATGGTTGAGCCAGAATGGCTTCCATGGCGTTTGGCTCGGAACGCAGCACAAGCGCTTCCTCCATGTCTCCACAAGATTCCAACACTACTTAGAGGATGGATTTCAAGCCGAGTTGGAGCTGCTGGGATTTTGTAAGGTTCCTTCTTTGGATGAAATCTGTGGGTGCTAAATCCAAAAGGGTCGCGGTCAGCACAGTATCTCTAGCAGTGACAGGCTTCACCCACCCCTTGCCGTCACTCCTAGTCACACCCTTTTTTTCAGCTCAAGGGGTCCACCTGAACTCCTCCAGAAAGTCCATGTAGGATCGCCAAACCTGAACCAGGGACACATAGGAGCCACGCAACCATGTACAATGATTACAATGATTATATAAAAGGTGCAAAAAACAGGAGATAGGGCGTGATCCGATTGTTCTGCTATGCCCCGGTGGCCCGTTCCAAGCCCAGCCAGTACGATAAACCACTCTCAGGCACTGGATCGGTCCGGAGCAGCTCACCACAACCAATGACCACCTCAAAGAGGTCAATCGTGGATGCCAACAAAACTGAAACATCTCATAATCATATAGTATATATACTGTACGTATACATATTTATATATATATAATATGGGCTCTGGTCGAAATGTCTTCCAAACAAGTTCTTGTACCAAGTTGTGGGAGGTGGGAGGTGTCACTAGCGCTGCACCGTTTTCAGCTGCTGTCCGAGGAAGTTGAACCACTGCTGTCTGAACTCTGTGCCTTCTCAAGCAATGCTTGAAACAAAAGACTTGTGGCAAGTCAGCTTTGGAAGGATCCATGCTGGAATCTGGCAATGTTTGCCAGTGCGGATCTAGCGCAGTGCTGGCGCGCGGCTAGCGCATTCTTTAGCCAGCAACTTTTCAAAACCTGCCGACGTTCTGAACATGTCCTAAGTCAAACACTAGCGCAAGTCTACCGCAAACTTAGCGCTCAGCCGCAGCAGCTCAGCTGCAGAATAGGTGTGTTTAGCTGGGGGCCCGCAACATAATCTAATTGATACAACAATATCATAAGCTACTTTCAATCCCTTTATCTAATATTTTTTTTGCAGTATAGACTTTTTGCCGGCAGTGTATATATATATATATGTGTGATTTTGATTATAATATATATATATATATACATTTGTTATATATACAGCAGTACTGATATAGATCTGTGGTTTCCCTATCGGTCCGTTTTGTTTGACCAACTGCCTTTTACCAGCATGGCGCGCCAAATTCCAACCTCCTTTTCTCATCTTCGACCCGTCTCATGACCATCCGAAGATGAAGCGCAATCTGATCCTCAAGAAATACCCCATTTTGCTTTGACTGCATCAGGGTCATCCAAGTAGGCCAATGTAAGCTCCCCTCCTCGCAGGATGGGGCGAAAGGCGCATACTGCCAGGCCCTGGGGTTCTCCATCCTTGAGAAACGGCAGCAAGACACAGTTTGGCTCGTTGGAATGGTTGATCAAAGAAATTGCTGGATACAGTGCTGTGCTGCCACCCATGAGTTTGTCGAAATGGGACTCACGATGTGTGGATTGGCCAGCCTGCAAGTTGCTCAAGGCCTCCTTGCTGTTTCCATGGGTGTTCACTTTCACCACCCCTTGAATGCGGGCATAGCTCAATTCCACCCTTTCAGCTCTTGGAAAGAAGTCTGCTTGCTGAAGAAGAAGGGGAAGGACCGAGGACTGCAGTGCATCCAAAAAGTTGTGGACACTTGTCACAGGTCCTTGGATTTGCTGAGGGCCTCCTAAAGCAAAGTACAAATTTCTATACTATGACTAGTAACTAGTAGGTTCCCTGAATATTTAAACTGGGTGGCACCAAAAGAATTTGTATCGAGAGAATGAAGTAAAGCAAAGTATGAACAAAGCATGCTGGAAGGACAATGCTAAGGTTAAAAGAGCTACGTATGCAAAGAGGACTGACAGTCCGCATTTTCCAACAAATTCGCAGTAGCCACAAGTTGAAAAAACTCGCGAGGCTGCATGAATGAAAGGTGAGCCAACAAACCCGCTTCAAAGGGCACCGCTTCACCCATGGTGTCCTAAAGGGCTGCGCAGCAAGAGGCTGCAAAACTTGACCGGTACTTGCACACACTTCAAACTTTTGCTCCATACCAGTTTGCTGCCCATGCAGTTTGGAGCTGCTTACTTTGCGGCCACGTTTGGTCCGTGTTCTGGGCTTCCTTCACTATTCCCACACTATCCTGCAAAATGTCCACTTTTGGACGCCTGCAACATTTGGTAGGCGAGTGCGAATACGGCAAAATTCCTATTCAAACCCAATTTTTGTTCATTGACCTGACTCTGAGGAAGAATGCAGGCTGTAGGCTTTCAATTGTATGAAGAAGTCCACTTAGACTTAGAACAGGTCGCCTGAGCTAGTCTGAAAATGAATGCTACCTTCTTTCTCGTGTGAGTTGTTTTCTGTTTCAAGTTTCAACTTCCATATATGATTTCCCAGAGTTGTGTCGAACCAACATGGAAGCGACAACAAAAACCTTGCACGGGGTATTGTCCACTTCCATCTTGGTCTGGGGAGGGCGGACTCGGCAAGATCTGGTGGGCAGGGCGAAGGAGATCAAAACACCAACAGCTACTCCGGGGAAAAACAACATAGACCAGAAGTCAATTTCAAGTGCGCTATAACATGGAAGACTGGAAACGGTGACTTCCTGGGGAAACGGTATTAGCGCCTTTTTGGCAATTTACTGGACCCTCACTAACATGGACCGTTCCCACTCTCAGTCTATGAGCGATTTTGACACTAACATGGACCAACTGCACTCTGACTATAAACTGAACGCAGGCTAACATAGACCGCGCCGGTAGAGATCAACATGGCCCGGTGGAGGCTAACATGGACCATGTCACATACCTCTAGGGGCCTCCTGAACATGGAATCTTACTATAAAAGAGGTCAACATACCCCGGTGGAGGCTAACATGGACCATGCCAAGTACCCGTAGGGCCCACCATGGCACATCTGAATTTGGTCTAGTCTCAACGGTGTCCGCTCGGAAACTATAGACTAACATATGCACATATGCAAAAAAGAATCGTTTTTTCCCGAACGCATAACAAAGGTTCCCGTTTATAGTTGGGGGTCTGGGGGTTGGCTTGCGTCGTCTCGTCGTCTGTCGTCGTTTGTCGTCGTCGTCGCGTCTCAAATTCGCTGCCATTGGGGGAAGCTTTTGCAAGTGACTTTGCATGGATGTGTCACGTGTCAGGCTGCGCCGCTATTCCATTGTGATTTGCGTGACAATGACATGTCGCGCAAGAAACGTGATGCACAGGCGCAGCGTTTTGTGAGATCCGCAGATTCCTGTGCAGTTGCATTGGGATTAGCGTTTGGAGAGTCGTGTTTTTGGGGTGTTGGATGTGGCCGAGCCATTGGGATTTGCGTTTCAGGGTGTGGCATCGAAGCTCGGTTTTCGTGACAAGTCTCAGCTGCAATGGCGATTTTGGTGGATGGAAGTGTGCTCAGAACGGGTCGAAATCATTCCAAACGTGTGGTGTGGTGCAAATTTTATTGAAGCTCACATGAGATGATATTGTCACTTTTCGTGGCAGGCGCAGGACTTTGTGCGGGTTTTGAGGCGTGGAAGTGCGATTTTCATGGCAGGCGCAGGGAATCGTGAGGTTGCGAGGTGTGACGGAGGTGACATTTCGTGGCAGGCGCAGTACTTTGTGCGCGTTAGACGTGTGGACGCGGAAAGATTCGTGGCAGGCGCAGGGAATCGTGAGGGGGTGAGTTGTGGTAGAGGTGAATGTCGCTGTCACATTGGGATTGGCGTGGAATCGCGAAAATGCTTGGCAGGGCTGCGTGATATGTGTGCTCCGATGGGTGTTTCCGCTTGACTTTTGGAGGAAGTCTCGTACGAAACGCTCGTTTTGCAGACTTTGACATGTGAGTTTTTGAGGAAGTCTCGTACAAAACGCTCGTTTTGGAGACTTGACGCGCAGCCCTCGGAGATCGTGCATGCGTGTCGAGTGTGCAAAATGGCGAGAGTGCGATTTGTCCCATGCGCGCGCAACCCTCTGCGGAGATCAGTGCGCGAAGTGCAGGCGAGAGTGCGATTTGTCCCACGCGCGCGCAACCCTCTGTGGAGATCGTGCGTGTCGAGTGCACGAAATGCAGGCGAGAGTGCGATTTGTCCGATGCCCGCACCACCCTCTGCGGAGATCGTGCGCGTCGAGTGCGCGAAATGCAGGCGAGAGTGCGATTTGTCCGGTGCCCGCGCAACCCTCTGCGGAGATCGTGCGTGTCGAGCGCGCGAAATGCAGGCGAGCACTGGCGACTTTGTAGTACAACTTTAGTACGCGGAGTATCTGGGGAGCTGGAAGATGAGAACTGGTGACTTGGTAGTACAACTTTCGTACGCGGAGCAATCTGTGGAGCTGGAAGCTGAGAACTGGCGACTTTGTAGTACAACTTTCGTACGCGGAGCAATCTGTGGAGGTGGAAGGTGAGAACTGGCGACCTTGTAGTACAACTTTAGTACGCGGAGTATCTGGGGAGCTGGAAGAGTGTCACACAAGAGTGTCCCACAAGAGTGTCCCGCAACAGTGTCCCACTAGAGTGTCTCACAAGAGTGTCCCTTAAGAGTGTCCTACAAGAGTATCCCACAAGAGTGTCCTACAAGAGTGTCCCACAAGAGTGTCCTGCAAGTGACCCACAAGAGTGTCCCACAACAGTGTCCCACAAGAGTTTCCCACAAGAGTGTCCTACAAGAGTGTCCCACAAGAGTTTCCTGCAAGAGTGACCCACAAGAGTGTCCTACAAGAGAGTCCTACAAGAGTGTCCCAGAAGAGTGTCCCACAAGAGTGTCATTTGGACATATGTAGTTTTTCGAACGTGTTTGCATTCGGGTTCGTGGGTTCCATCTTTATTTTTTTGCGAAAATGTTAGTTTTCACCGGTGTAGTTTAAACTGTACAAGAACCAAGTAACTTTGTGTGCGAAAAGTCATCATTGGGAACATTCAAGTAACTGTGCTTCATGAGTCTTCCCACAAATTAGACATGCTAGCTAGCACCCCAAGTTTTTGCATAAATGGTTAATAGTGGTTGTATAGATCGTCTCCAACTGTCCATCCTCCCGCAGGGCTTCCAGGGGAATTAAAACTGCCAACGAAGACAACCCAGGGCCCTCAAAGGGCTTGCTGAAGCGAAAGCTCCCGAGCTGGACTACCATCAAGGTTTCAATGGCCGAGGGTCGCTCCAGTCCACTACCATCATCCAAATTCGACAGCACCTGCGCCAATAGTTGGTCTTTACTCGCCATGGATGTCAGCTTTGACGTGAGCTTCACGGAAGCTGCATCGGTGATGAGTCCTGAAGGTTGGTTTCCACAAAATGCTCAACGCCGGCTGGTATCCCTGTTGGAAAAACATGGAAAAACAGGCGTGGGAAAAACATTGGGAAACTGAGGCACGGGATATTCATGCTCCGGAAATGCAACCCTTCCCCCTTTCAAAGACGTGCCCAACTTCAAGCAAGGATTCTTTGCTGTCTTGTTGAATCACTCCAAAAACAAAGTACAGTTCCCGTTATCCCAATGCCGGCTCTGGGGTTCAGATCAAACATTGCTCTGGTGTTCCTAGCGGCCAAGTGCTCCCAGACGCTGCCGACATAATGCGAAAAATTGTGGAATATGTTGAAAAGTTAAGACACTAATCCGCTCATCGTTCATCGCCATGCAAATCACTAGGTTTGCCGGTCGTTGCACCTACAATAACTTGGAATACGCGCCGATCAATGAACATCCCTTTAAAGAATGCTGGCGGCTACAGGATAAAGTGCGATGATACATTCGTGCCTGCCAAACAGGATATTGCTACAATGGAGATACTTCGTTTAAAAAATACATATACCGTATATACATTTTCTACTTTCTACTTCTACTATATCCGCGGAAAAGGAGGGGGCGCGTAGATCGCGAATGCAAATGATTGGATAAGATAGGAGGTAGCCAAATAGGACATTGTACAATAAAGACGAATGTAATCGCTCCCCATATTTTTGCAGCACAAACGGTTGAGCCGGTGGGTGCCAGCAGGGGCTGGCCTCCCATCAAAGTGCCAAAATGAGATCAAACAAACTGAAACGAGATTTAAACAAGTGGTGAGATCCATGAGGTCAGCCAATTTAGGATAAGATAACAGCACGTACACATACATAGTTCACTTGTCTTTGACATACGCCACCTTCCTGGGTGAAGATTTGACATCAACTGACAGTCACTTGGGATGGCTAGCACATGATGGTGACTGAAGCCTGTCCTAGTAGGGATTTCCTGGAATCTTGAATGTTCACCATCTACTGCTCATGTTACAGTATATTATTACCATGTATGCATTACTACCCGTTGCTACCCCTTCTTCCTGGCCATGTTAACCATTTATAGGCTACGTAGGTCAGAGGAGTGCTAGATCATGCTAGATCCATTGTTGTTTGAAGGGGCATTGGATTCAAGCCTGCTTCCCCCCCTACCTACCTGAATCGGTGTTTGTGGAAGTCAGCAGCTCACTTGTGGCATCAGTCGACACAGATCCCCGGGGCCGCTGGAGGATCAAGGTGTCCCCAAAGTCGATGTGGCGAAGCGACCGAAGTCCTGACAAAGAGGCCATTGACCACGCGTCTATCAAATCACAAGGGCATTTGTGGTCACAACATGTCACAACGTCAGTTCGATGAGGTGGACATTTGCGGAATTGACGGTTTTCATGGCGTCGCAAGCCACAGAGTCTGGATTCAAAAGGTCAAGCTGAAAAGGACCCACTCCTCTGCCTTTGCCTTCGACTCGTTCGACGGCAATGGCATCAGATGCCCAGTCTACAATGAACTTCCCTGGCCAAAAGTGCTTTGCACCAGCAGCTGCCGCCAAATCTTTCGAGTACTTGCCGCGGATGTATTCCTTCAAGGGTTAGTAAATAGGTGAATGTTTGACATCTGGTTTTAGCATGATTTTAGCGATGTTCCGGACTTATCGCCACTGTCCTTGGTAGTAGCCACTTCTTTCGCGAGCTGAGTCAACGTCGTCAAAGTCTCTGTGTTTTCAAGCACTTCCTCCGACAAATCGAGTTCACCCAGGAGTGCCAGTGCATGAGCAAGGTGATAAACGGCTTTCCTGCAACCCCCAAGCCGCAAGTTTCCAACTATCAGGGGAGAGAGAGAGAGAGTGTGTGTTTGTGTGTGTGAGAAAATATATTATGTAATGGAAAAAATGCTTAGCTTTGGTTTCCCAGCGTCGAATGGAATTGCAACCTCAGGCTCGCAGCGGCTGCTGCCAAAGCATCATGAAGAAGTCCAGCACGGATGGAAGACAATGCCACATTGCGAAGGAGATTTGCCTCAAAGGGCTTGCTCAACGGATTCAGTTATTAAACAATGACTAGGGTCTCAGGAACTCAAAACAACAGCTTTGAATAGTTGCTGTAGACAACGAATCACAAACAACATTTCTCGACACATACCAAGGCAATACACAGGGTGCGTTCCAGGCCAGGTGTCTTCAACACCGACACTAGCTAACAACGTTTGAAGTTTCAACAGTCACGCGCCACTTCTTCAGCAGCTGGATGACCTTCCAATGATTTCGTGTAGAATGCAGCTGCCTGGTGGTGTGAAAGCCAAAAAACACATACAACAAATCTGAAAGCGCCATCCGAGTGGGGATGAATGCACTGCCGCCTATGTTGTTTAGACTGGGTCGCGCGGCTAGCCCTGGTACTCCTGCTTGAGCTGTTACGTCACTGGAACCGGAACCCTGCACCAGCTGGTGGAGCCCTAACCCGAACGATCTCTTCGATAGTTCTCACGTCACACTAGACTTGAGCCAGCTCGTCACACAGTTCGACAGTTTCGACCTTCCAGCCTTGTGCCAGGTTCGGGATCCCAGTTTCCAACCGCCGCACATACACCCTGCCGCCACTGAGGAAAGCGGTCTACCGGTATAGGAACCTTTTCCGGTGATGCCGACCCCTGACGCTTTTGCCATAAAACCTTTCGGCCTGCTGGCGGAGAGCGTAACGTATTTAAAGGTTGACGTGATTTTGTCTGCTTCGTGGGAAGTTGATATTTTTGGGGAGAGTAATTATCTGAAATTATGTGTTTTATCGATGTTGGTTCGAATTTGATTCACTTTGGGTATGTTTTGTCTGCCAGAAACAATTACAGTGTTCTTGCGCTTTGCGTTGTGATGCGCTGTGGATGGTCTAACGTTCCAAGCCGTACTTAACACACATTAAATCGCGATTAGTATATGGGGGTTGTTCAAAAGTCCTTTCATTTTTTCCAGGCCTTTCGCAGGACCTTCGCGAAGCTTTCGCAAGCTTTCGCGCGTGGGGTTTTACCACTGTCGGCGAAAATGGTTTTTCGTTGGGGCTAGAGGCTTTCAAGGATAGTTGCCCTGGCACGTCTTGTGTCCTCTGATCACTGACACATTGATTGCTGAGGAACAGGAAGCCAGCGAACCAAGACATGTTCATGTTGGTGTGTTTTTGGTTGGTCAGTCAGGCCAGTTTGCTCAGACTTCCAATTTGCTTTTCCCGGGCCGGGAAAAAGCAAAATGGTTCAGACTTCGAATTTGCTTTTTGCCGGGCCGGGAAAAAGCAAAATGGTTCAGACTTCCAATTTGCTTTTTCCCGGAAAATGGTTCAGACTTCGAATTTGCTTTTTCCCAACCCGGGAAAAAGCAAAATGGTTCAGACTTCCATGGAAACAAGCAGCGCCTGCGAGGCTCGAGCCCACGACCTTCTGCTTATGGGTCTAGCGCCTTATCCATTAGACCACACAGACCACAGCTCTATGAAATAATTGCTTTTTTCAGGCTTTGCAAAAGCAAGCTGGATGTCCAATTTGCTTTTCCGGCTCAAACTTCCAATTTGCTTTTTCCCGGGCCTGGAAAAAGCAAAATTGGAAGTCTGAGCCATTTTGCTTTTTCCCAGCCCGGGAAATTGGAAGTCTGGGCCATTTTGCTTTTTGCCGGCCCGGGAAAAAGCAAATTGGATGTCTGAGCCATTTTGCTTTTTCCAAATTGGAAGTCTGAGCCTTTTGCTTTTTCCAGGCCCGGGAAAAAGCAAATTGGATGTCTGAACCATTTTGCTTTTTCCCGGGCCGGGAAAAAGCAAAATGGAAGTCTGAGCCTTTTGCTTTTTCCAGGCCCGGGAAAAAAAGCAAATTGGATGTCTCAACCACTTTGCTTTTTCCCGGCCCGGGAAAAAGCAGATTGGAAGCCTGAACCATTTTGCTTTTTCCCGGCCCGGGAAAAAGCAAATTGGAAGATTGGAAGTCTGAGCCCTTTGCTTTTTCCAGGCCCGGGAAAAAGCAAATTGGAAGTCTGAACAATTTTAGCAAATTGGAAGTCTGAGCCTTTTGCTTTTTCCAGGCCCGGAAAAAGCAAATTGGGTGTCTGAACCGTTTTGCTTTTTCTTCGCCCGGGAAACAGCAAATTGGAAGTCTGAGCCAGCCCTGGAAAAAGCAAATTGGAAGTCTGAGGTCGGGTGGGGTTTGGCCCTGTCGTCTTTCGCGTCCACAATGCGAACCTTTCGCCATACTTGCGCAGTTTCCCACGACAAAGAATTTTCCAAGGGTCGGGAAAAAGCAACCAATTTGCTTTTTCCTGGGCCCGGGAAAAAGCAAAAGGCTCAGACTTCCAATTTACTTTTTCCCAGGCCGGGAAAAAGCAAAATGGCTCAGACTTCCAATTTGCTTTTTCCCGGGCAGACTTCCAATTTTCCCGGGCAGACTTCCAATTTGCTTTTTCCCGGGCCGGCAATTTGCTTTTTCCCGGGCCTGGAAAAAGCAAAAGGCTCAGACTTCCTATTTTTCTTTTTCCCGGGCCGGGAACAAGCAAAAGGCTCAGACTTCCAATTTGCTTTTTCCCGGGCCGGGAAAAAGCAAAATGGTTCAGGCTTCCAATTTTTTTGCGGGCCGGGAAAAAGCCAGACTTACAATTTGCTTTTTCAGACTTCGAATTTGCTTTTTCCCAACCCGGGAAAAAGCAAAATGGCTCAGACTTCCAATTTGCTTTTTCCGGGGCCGGGAAAAAGCAAAATGGTTCAGACTTCCAATTTGCTTTTTCCCGGGCCGGGAAAACGCAAAATGGTTCAGACTTCCAATTTGCTTTTTCCCGGCTCGGGAAAAAGAAAAATGAAACTCCTTCCAATTTGGAAAGCAATCTGTGGGAGGAAATTGCCTTCTCCGGCCTGGAAACAAGCAGCGCCTGTGAGATTGGAGCCCACGACCTTCTGCTTCTGAGCTTGGCGCCTTATCCATTAGGCCACAGCTCTCTGAAAAACTTTCTTTTTTCAGGCTTTCCAAAAGCAACCTGGATGTCCAATTTGAAAAAGCAAAATGGTTCAGACTTCCAATTTGCTTTTTCCCGGGCTGGGAAAAAGCAAAATGGTCTAGACATTCAAAAAGCTTTTTCCCAGGCCAGGAAAAAGCAAAATGGTCAAGACTTCCAGCCAAGCCATTTTCATTTTGGCGTGTTTTTGGTTGGCCGCAGCCCTGCATGAACAAGAGACGGCTCAGTCAGGCCAGTTTGCTCAGACTTCCAAGTTGCTTTTTCACGGGCCGGGAAAAAGCAAAATGGTTCGGACTTCCAATTTGTTTTTTCCCAGGCCTGGAAAATGCAAAAGGCTCAGACTTCCAATTTGCTTTTTCCCGGGCCGGGAAAAAGCAAAATGGTTCAGATTTCCAATTTGCTTTTTCCCAACCCGGGAAAAAGCAATCGGAAGTCTGAAGAGCAATTGTTCTTGCAGCGTGGCCAGGTCACCAACATGACTTGCGCAGACCTTTCGCAGGACCTTCGCGAACCTTTCGCGACTGCAGTGAGAGCACAATCGAAATCAGCCTTTGAAATTCGATTACTAACAAGGAAGAGGTGGGTTTTTGAACGACGCTCATATATATATAGGAGCGTTTAGTTTGTTGTGGTGCTCTGTGCCGAGCGTCCGTTCGGGGGATGGCTGTGTGCTACATGGATTGATCATGGTCGCTGGCAAAAACAAATCTCAAACTCCCGGCCCTAAACTCACACATCAAGACCAAAACGCTGCCATCGCCCTGTCCGCGAAACGTGACAAACAGCAGCCTAATCCCGCCTCAGAGTAGTGCCCCTGTCGAAAAGCCATGTTGCCCTTTTCCTTGAGACTTGCATGATTGGTGGTGCTCTCTTCAGACCTGACGCTGGTTCTGTGCACCTTCAATGTAATCTGCACCACCGCCCGAGTCTTTTGCACCAACTGCTCAGCCGGCCCTGTGACGTTGGAGAAGGCGCTCCGAGCTCGTTGGGCCAAGTCAGGAAAGCCAAGGCCCTCAAGGGCAAGTACCTGGTCACCAGTAAACCAATATATATATATATAGGTGTATATATATAATTTCATATATTATATATGAAACTATATGAATTGATTTTGATTGTTTGGCATTGTTGAGCCAACGCTAGCGGAATGCTCTATGTCTATAACTGATTATAAAGCAAATAGCAGTTCCGACAAGAATATCTTTGAGAGGCAGGTGCTGCAATGTAGGGAGGAGGCATGGGTGATGCCATTTTGAGTGGTGGAATGGACGGCACCAAAAAAAATTGCCGAAATCACCAATGAGAAGCATATCTTGCTTGGTGCTTCGCTCCGTGGGGGCACAGCAGCAAACCAGCAGCACTATCTCCAAGAGCCTCCGCCCAGCACTTTTGCTTTAGATGTGCCTGGGCGCGGTTGGACAGCAAAACGGCAACCTCCTCACAAGTATGGAGACCTTGCCAATACTCTGCTAATGCTGCCTCAAACTGCCCCATCTTATAGAGTTCATTGCCACTCTCCCGGCATTGGGAGAGGTCCTGGACACTTCCGGAGGCGGCAATGCGAATGTCATGAGGACTGTCCACTCGAATTCCCTGCTTACCATCTCGAAAGATCTTCAGGAAAGGCTCGGCGATTCGGAGGGTGGCACCTGTGGGGAACCGTTTCTCAGCCAGCTCTTGCGCTTGATGGCCGCTGACACCGCCTGGCAGCTGATTGTAGAGACCCAACTGCACAACCTCCCCCCCACTCGTCCTGCAACAAGGTGGTGATGCCGACTGTGACCATAGGCGGTACCAGCAGCTTTCCCACCAACACTTTTCCACTGGCCACTCCAAAGAGACGCAAGGCATTGATCGCAACAGGCTGCAGCTGATGCCAGTTCCTGGGTTCACCAGTTGCAGCTTCAGGCTTGATCAGTGTGGAATTCGTCTGCAGTGTTCGCAGCATCTTAAAGCTACCATCGTTCCCGCGCTCAAAATTTGATAGATGGTCCTTGTAGCTCATCATGTGTTGCATGACATGGATGTCTCTCGGCATCTTCCGACCCCAATTGCCCAAAGAGGCCGTCACGGCTTCTATGGCTTCCAGCTGGAGAACCTCCGACTTATTCACCAACCTCAAAGCTCTCACGAGTGGAGAGTCTCTGACTTGCTCTGAAGCCCTAGCACTGACCTTGTTTGAAAGCCCTTGTATCATGAGTTGATGAGTAATATGTTGGAAATTCTCTTCAACTGTGATTCTCAGAGCTTTCAATAGCTTCCCTCGCTCTTCCTCTGGTAAATTGTCATAGTGACAAATGGCATCAGGATGACAATAGCTGGCTAGAACCTCAGAGTAAATCGCTGGGGCTTGTTCCTCTGCAGCCTTTCTGACGTCTTTGACACTTGGCGCTGCTCGTTCTGGCGGTGGCTGCAGCGCTGCCTCCCCCATTCGCATCTGGAGTGCTTCAAGCAGCTCTGGAGGCAGTTCCTTCAACTGGTCGAGCAGCTCAGGCATGGAGCCCACGGACCCAGCTGTTGAAGCAACTCAGAGATCTCCATGACGTGACACTTCCACCCACAATGAAGCTTAAATGGCTGCAAACAAATGCAAACAGGAGTTAAAAGGAAGGCACTCTGAAACTTGCTCGTTTCAGCAAATCCACCACGTCTTTGGCACACTTGGGTCGCCCAGCCCAAAACACTTTCAGGGCGAACATCCGATTGCACATTCTAAGGCAGCTGAGGCACCAGGAAAGACTTTGCCCTGGTAATGGCCACATTCAATCTCCGATGGTCCGTCAGAAATCCCAAGCCTCGGTGCGATCTTGGTCCAGGAAGTTATACTCCAGGCAGGTCTGCAGTCTACCATTCTTTGTGGGAAACACTCAGCTGCTTTATTTCCAAGAAACACTCACGCTTTTTAAAAACTTCAGAACATCTGTCCAAACCAAGTGTCGAAAATGGCCTTGCCTTTGCTTTCTGTTTTACACGAGGCCACGCCGACAGCACGGCAGTCTGGCAATCACCCAAACCATCCAAAACCAATTCCAAAATGCTTACAATTTTTTATCAATCAGCCAAAAGTATCAACGTGGCCTTGCTTCCCCTCTAAACAACATGCAATAGCATTGGCCCTAGATTGAGGACATCAATGCCAAGCAGCCTTGAGTTCGCACGCAAGACAGGATGATGACCTGGCACAGCTGCCTTTGGTTGATCATGGTTGCCACCACCCGTGCAGGAATCCAACGGGCATAGAGCAGTTCATGGTCATCAAGTTCTAGTCAGCAAAGATAAATATGCATGTTGTCTCTAGAGACGTTTCTTTCAGCGATGTTTGGTTGACAACAGGTTATTTGGCGCGACTACCTTATAAAGTTGTGTAGCCCTGGCTTGCCACCTCTTTCTCACGGCCCTGGTAGCCATCCACAGTCTTCACCTCCAACACCTTCGAGCTCTGAGCATCAGGGTCCTGTGGGGTATCACATCGCGAATGTCTTGACTTGCTAAAATTGCTGGAGAACGCCGCAGCTGGTAACCCTGGTATCACTGGCCCGATGAGTGAGTCCATGATGTCCTTTTCTGTTAAAGTGAATTGGTCAACTTGAGGTCACCTGATCACAAAGCTCAATTCATCCAATCGTCCTGTGGTTTGATCCTTGCTGTTTCCAGGGCTGACTTGATCTGAGTCACCTGGCCCGATGGAAGCCATCAACTTCTAGAACGGGGACTGCTGGAAAACTCTCCCCCGCACTCTGCATCATCCTGATTGAAACTCCCTTCATTCAAGCGACTGACAAAGGACCGCCACCTGCGCAGTGTAGGGCGAAATGACGCCGATGTCCTCCTCACCCGCCTGGTCATGAAGAAAGAACTTTATGATGCTAATAAGATCTTGCAAGTCTACAATGACAAGGTGGGGGCATTCGGCACTAGAGTCACTAGAGCTACCAGAGGCAAATGGTCAAATGTTCAAATATGTGCACTGAACATGTAAAAAAAAGGAGAATGATGAGACCTCAATGTCCCACTACTCGCGACAGGTTCTTGCCAAGCTTGGGCCGGCCACGTCACTTTTCAGTCGCCAGTTCAAAGCGAGGCGCAGTGGCGAGACGGCCACATCAGTCGAAACATCAGCTTCTTTGTAGCTAGGGCTGGGGTGGCTAGGCTGGCCGCACATTGTTTGTGCGGCAACTCGGAGCACCACAGCACATCCAAGGTTACCGTGGCCCATGCGGAGCGAAAATGTTCACTTTCTCCACTGGGCCGATCTCCATAATCCGCCAATGCCTGGGCCAAGTCGTCTGTCCAGAAACACCCATCCTCAGTGCAGCATGTCGCAGCATGGCTGCTGCCTGGCTTAAAGCACAAAGACCCAGATGTGCCTACAGCTGAGAACAACACCAAAAATATGCCTTTGCAGTTGGGTGGCTGGAAGACGCGTCTGAAGCTGTGGCGATCCTCGGCTTCTTTTGAATGGCTACGTCTACGAGCCCAGGAGAGAAGACAATGAAATTATATGCAAACATAAAACAATTATATTGTAGAACTACATCTAAATACGAAAAACTGCTTGTGAAGCTCCTCAACACTTTTGCATTCTGCGACGTTATCCTGCTAACACAAAGTGAATGAAAACCGTTAAAAAATGTTGAAAAAACAAACAATGCACTTTGGGAGGCGTGATCCGAAGATCAGCCCAGACGCCGAATCCGAATCCCAAATCAAGAAGCTCACTGTGTTTAAAAACCGCCCACGTCAAGCTGACCAGCTGTAAAATCTGTAAATAAAGGGTCGGCAGAAAAGATCCCCCTTGGTACTGACACCAAGGGTAGATCCCCAGGATTTTACATACTAAAATCCTACCGAACCAAGGTGACTTTCTAGTTTTTCAGTGGTACCCTAGGTTTTTTTGGGGTTTTAGTAAAGTCCTACGAAACCCACGTGCCCCAGAGGGTTTGGAATCACGGAAAAAACAATGAGACCGGGCTGGTCATATCCTTAGTTAAATCCTGGGTATCAAGGTGCAAAAGAAGCAATTTAGAAAACACCAGTTTTGTGGTTTGGATTTTCTCCTACAGTGTCGCTGCAGGCTTTGGAAGCTGAGCAGACTTCCCGGCTGGAGCAGATCAAGAAATTGATGCGGGAGGCCATGTTTAGAACGATTGAAATTTCATATGCAGGAAGAGAGAGAGAGAGAGAGAGAGAAACCACTTGTGCAGAGCAGGGTCATGAGGAACTTCTCAATTTTCTTTTGTAGATTCCAGGCCCCTACCTGACTTCCAATGGTCACGTCACGTCAAACCCCTATGTTTTCAGTATGGCGTAAGCAAGGGGGGTGTCCTAGTTGAATAAGCCTTTCCAGGAGCCTACAGTATCTACCGGACGGACTTGCAAATTTTGCAACGGCATTTCGCTTCCCTGCCATCGCATGCAGGAGCATTCAGGCGAATCGAAGGTTCATGGCTTGGCGGACAAACCATTGAAGGAGGACTGGTTGAGAGGTGCTTGCAATTGCAGTTCAGTGGAGGCCAATACTTTTGTAAAATCCTGTAGTCTAACGTGTTTTGGAAGTCCTGGCACCTACGTCTCTACATCGTCTCTACTACCTTGGGCACCAGGATGTTTCAAACCTCCATTTGCATCATTTGCCTTTTGTAAATTCCTGGCACCTACCTGACGTCCTCTTTTGATTTATACTGAAACATTGAGGTCTAGGTCAAGGATTTCAGTATGGCAGTACGAAGGGGGATAGAAAAGGAACAAAGCCCTTTTCAAGCTGCACAGGGTCAGCAAAAGCTCGCGAAAGGAAAGAAAGGAAATTCAGAACGGCCGAATCCCAAAATAGGGTTCGCGAAGGATGACGAATCCCAAGAAACGAATCCCGAATCCAATTCGGGGAAAGATCTCTGGATCGCTACTCTACTTTGGAGGCGCGTAATGTTTGACATAAACGTGGTGGATCATACTGGAATCACCGGGCGTCTGGGTCGACAACAGCAAGCGCACGAAGCCAGCCCACCACTGCGCCCACAAGAGCACCATACCGGAGTCCACGCTTCACCTGAGCATTGTATGCACAGCACTGCATCGTGTCGTCTGAATGATCTGACAAACGAGTTCCTTTGCAAGAACCCAAGGTTGGTGGTTGTCAGCCGGTTGTTTGGCACCTGGCACTGCTCTGTGTGTGTAGTATAAGTTACATAATGCAAAGGACCTGGCCAATGCCTATGGCGCAAAGGCATGGTGAGCCAAGGCCCGGCACTTAAATTCGGGAGAAAGCGAACTCAGACTTGTGCTCCCCCAAAGGGGGCATCACAACTCTTCAAAACAAGTTGCCCATCGAGGATCGCGAATGCTAAGGAGCAAGAGCTCTACAAAGATAGCAGAGACGACATAGAGCACCCTGACAAAAATCCGTCCGCTGACGGGAGAAAAAGAAAACTCAGACTAAAGCTTGGTACAAAGGTCCTGCAATGCCCCGTTTATACTCTTTTATATATGGGTGATGGCAGCCATGAACAGCTTTTCTGCCTTTGAAGACCTGACTGCGACTGCCACCGGGAGACAAAGCTTGCCACGAGTCCAGATCGTGGAGATCTTGGCTACAAGTACACGTTAAAAGTGTACAATGGCCCCTGCTGAGTGTGCAATTGAGAAGCAAAGCCACAACGGCAAAGCAACTAAGCCCAGGACCGTCAATGTGACGCACTTGTCGAAGCCTTCAAGCTTAAAGCTGGGCCACCGCAAAGTGAGCAGGCAAGAACCATTTGAGCAATATGTGGAAAAAACAGCATTAAAGTTCAGTTTGATTAGTTATGCTAGCTAGCTGCTAGCTGTTGGCAGCTGGGCAAATGTTGACAACCACGCATTTCAGGGCATTCAGTTTGCCACACGTAGCCTGAGCCGAGGCAAAGCGCCCAAACATCCCAAGAGCATCCCAGAGGCCATGCCACAGCAGCCCACATGCAAAGCCTTGGTGCAAGATGTTTTCCAAGGTATTGCTGAGGTATCCAAGGATTGAGGACCGGAGGTCGGGTCATGCTGTGAAAATATGTGAGCATGCAAATTTCCAGGGATGTTAAGAGAAAGGTACGCCCGAGCTTAGCCGCCCGGAAGAAGGAATGGCACGACCTTGCAACCCATTGGACAGCATCTTCTCGGTCTGCGGCCGAGTTGCTGCCCCGGTGGCCTGAGTGTCGAGCCGGGCCATCTTCACTTGAAGCGACAGTGGCAGTGGCATCCCACATAAACCAAACTACAACTTACCAAGGTCGCCATGGTTTGCCCAGCAGCATGTGAACCTTTACAAGCGGGTGCAAACTGCAAGTTCTGTACTATAAGAATTTTTATGCGTACTGACTATTGCAAAGAGAGAGGGAGAGGAAAAGGGAGGGAGGGAGGGAGGTGAGCTCAGAATGAGCTGTTTGGTTTCCCTTCCGGCTAAAAGACACATTGCTTTTCAGCCTAGGCCCCCAACACCAGCCAACTTCAGGGCCAGCCAGCGGCTGCGCCGAAAAAGGCGCAATTGCGGGGTGTAGTTGCGCGCGATGTGCCTGACAGTTTAAGTACATGTTGATCAACCGGATGGAACCCAAGCTGTGGGGAACGGTGCGAAATCTGCAATGATGGCAGGTTCACCTCAGAATTCGTGTGGCTTCATGAGTGACTTTGCATGTTGCTCCTTGTTGGGGGCTCCTTCCTTGAGTCCTTGAGGCTCGGCCTCAGGTTGCCATGGCCCAAGCCCACGCTGCGCAGCACATTCTCGACCCCTTCCGTGTCTAAGGCATCGGTTCCTTTGACCATCTCCTAGCACAGGTGCGAGAATCACAGGTGCAGCATCTCAAAATCACAGGTGCAGGCATCTGGTTCCGGCATGTTTCAACATGGTTCAATTTATTTGTGATTCACCTGGATGCAGAATATAGGATGACATCGCCCATGTCATAAATCGCTCTTTTGGTGACCATGCCACTGACTATGACTATGGGAAGCCCTGGGCTGGAATTCACGCCTTCTCCACGAAACTTCTCAAGGTCCCCTGCCGCATGGGCAGCAAAGCTGCTAGCAACGGCACAGCTACCCGAGCAGGCACCAGGGCTCCAGATTGGTGCTGGCCCGCGAGAACTCCTTCAACGGCGGATGTTGCGACCCAAAAGATCAGCAGCTCACCATGATTCGCACTATGGTAATCCATCTATGAGGCACATCCAGCCGAAGAATAAAGACACTCACACGTACAGCATCTACACAGGCCGGCAATTGATACCACGAAGCAGGTAGCATGCCAAACGGAAACCGAGGGACTGCAAGCGTGCACTAGCTTGCCGGCTTGTAGGCCCCAAACCAACCAGCTCGCAACAACTGTTAGAGGAAGAAGTCCACTGGCATTTGACATAGTTTGACGATGTCTGACGTCAAGCACACGTTTACACCTACCAAGATATACCAAGCACATACACACGCCAGCAAAGTCTATGAGTGTGCAACTTCACGCCGAGGCACGCAGGCCGGCCACAATTTCAGGGGGGTTCATCTCCTGGATACGGAAGCATTTGGATGCTCCATGAAAGCAAATCCATGCAGATGCTTCAAACATTTCATGCACACGGATGTGCATGTGGCAGGATGTGGGCACATAAAGAAGAAGTTTCTTCCAAGTCTGTACCCTCAACGCTCAAAACCATCAAAAGCTCATAGACTCATAAGATTAATTAGCCCGGTTTCCATCCTGGAGGGTTTCTTTGCTGATTGGTGTCGACAGCGTCGCGAAGGGGCTTCGACAAATTGGACAGCGCCTGTCGGCGGAAGAAGCTTGCAGCTTGCAATGAATAATTAAACCAAAATTGTCATATCTTTTCCTGATAACTTCTCGTACTGCTAGCAGAAGTTGGCAAATAAATGCTATCCAATGATATCCGGTGTTTCTAGCACATGCTGAACTTGGATTCCAGATCTCAAGCCGGAATGCGAGCGCTTGTTGCGACCCCAACCGAAACCACCAAATATCCAAGTTCCGCTTGCCTTTCAGACTTTCGTTATTACAGTTCAGGTTAACAGTTGACCCTGGACCCTGTGAGCCTGGGTCTCAGCCGCTCCGCGCAGGCCGCATGCATGTAATGCGGGCCTCAAGGTTGTAACTAGATGAGCTAGAGCAAAAAGGTTGAGAGTTTCCACAGCCATATACTCAGGGTCACTTGCGGCATCTATGCGACAAACAGTATCCGTCAGTATCCTAAGTCCGGCGGCGGAGGCTTAGAATAGACTATGAATAGAGTCAGGCACAACTCAACCCAATCCTCGTGCCAGCTACCAAAACAGGGTGATGCAGCTTGGGGAATGTTGGGGGGCCTCAAGCTGGGAACCTGGACTTTAGCGGCACATTCGCAAAACTTATGTGGTTGCTAAAGAATTTCCCGTTGGACTTCCACTTCCGTTTTGAATATTCAGCCAAGCTGCAGCAAGAGTTGTCACCGGTGGGTGTCAGAAGCGCAGCTACTGGCTGAGCGCAAAGAGAGTCCAAGCAAATGCCTTGCAAAGATGGTTTCAGGATGTCTGGAGTCGAGCTCAAAGCTGGACTAAAGGAAGGCCAAGTTACAGCAAACCTCAAGCTCCTGTCGCGAAGACCGCCAAGTGTGTCAGTCACAGTTCCCACACCAAGAAGATTGGTGATCCAATGCCAATAGATCTCATTCTTGTTGCTTCAATGCAAGTGGTCAGGATCTTTGATGGCCAAAATCTCTTTCACCTGATTCATGGCCCTCCCTCCTCTGACTCATCCAGCATGTTCCCGGACAAAGTGTGCATCAGCTGCGAAGACGATTCCATTGCCAAGTGTTGCCAGGAGTTGGCTGGTGGTTGCTTGGGCTGTCAATGTGATGTTTTGGAACCTCTTTCACTCAGTGGCAACGATTTCTACTTGTGTGTGTGTCGTGCGTTTGTGTGCGGGGTGGTCTGAGATGAGTAGCGGCGTGCATGATCAAGCCGGGGGGCGCAATGTCAGCGGATGTCATCAGTCTTGAAGGGAGCGATACTCATCAACCCTGTCAAGGGCAACATAAATATGCACGGATATGGTTTTGAAATGTTTTGGTCTGGCGTTGTTTCTTTCCGGGCCAGCTCTCTTTGCTCAAGCCTTCATGCGCCTTCATGGTCTGGCCGCTTGGCCTTCTACTGTCTAGTGATCTGCTTCCATGCAGCTTTCGAGCACAAGTACCAACACGAATGCATAACAAGCTATATAACCAAACTCCGTCAAGTAGTAGGCCTTAGTAGGCAAGACCCTGTCTCTTTGAGTGCAAGTATGCTTATAGTGCGCATGTACTTGCAGCAAGGGGGAAGCCGCCTGCATCAGTTTCTTCAACACGACCTTCACCAGTTCAACTTCCAAAAGGTTGTACTTGCTCCTTAGCTGCGAATTCTGCAAATGTTTTGCTTCTCTATAGACCTCATAATCCTCGTGACTTTGCAATCTGCCCGTCAATGTGCCATCGCTTGCCATTGGACTTGCCATCAAGACTCCCTTCGTTGTTTTGGCTCTCAAAGTTCTCGAAGCTCACATTTCCACCAAAAGCTGCCAAGAAATCGGCCTTTCTGGATAGCGACCGCTGACAAAAGACCATGTGCATGGACAACTTCAAATGGATATTGATTACATTATATTACCTGTAGTTTATATAACATAATATATACTGTAGTATATCATGATTTAATACACTTTATCTCTGGTTCTATATGGATACAGTACCAGGACCTTACACCCCACCCTTTGAACTGATACAAGTGACCGAAGTGGATGATGTGTCAAGGAAGAGGATCGGCGTTTTCCGTCGATAGGACCTCAGCAACTGGGCATCCATGCAGTGCTTCTCAAGGCCGTGAGACTTTGGGTCAAACCGGGCCCAAGCTTGGGTCAGGTGGGCTCGGGATGAGGATTGAGCCGTGCCTTTCTTCCGAAGTGCATCCAAAATGCTGTGAGAGGAATGGCTGGCTCATGAGGCTTGAAGCAAATGACTGGCTGCACAGGCCATCCTGCAACTGAAGCACATCGCATTCGACTCAGGGGCTTGTTGTACACACACGCAGACCTCCTATCAATGGCACAGTCCTATCTTATGGGCTCAAGCGAAGCCTATCCGAAAACTCTGAGCGCAACGGTAGCCTGATTCGTTTTGCCATCAGCCCAAACAAGTGTCCGCTGACGTTCAGTGCCAATCTCAGCAACTGAAGCTAACGTTCATGACATGCTCGGCCATCTCACACATGAAAAAAAAGGGTGTGATGCGGTGTGAGCAGCCTTGTACACTCCGTCGTGTCCTACCCCACGATTTGCTGATCCACAAGTGTGTGTCCTGCAGCTTGTTGCCATAGAACTGCATGCTCGGCCACTTTCTGATCAGGGGGTGCATGCGGTACTGCACCTCAAAGCTTGCTTGAGTTTATTGAGACCAAAGTTATTCTCAGCACAGGGCCTGCAACATGTTTATTTCCTCATTGAAGAGCGTTGGCGAGTTCAGCAGCCGATCAAACAAGGAATACTGCAGTCCTGCAAACGTTGCGCCCACATCTCTTGGGATGTCCAACGGTCCATCAATAGCTTCTGGGCTTTCGTTGACCCACAATTCTTACTCTCGCTCTGGTGCAAAACTTGGTGGGGTGGTGCTTGGAGAAAGAGCAAGCTCCTTTCTCTGCAGCAGCTTGACATAGCACGACTGGTGGCAGTTGCTTCTGATCACCCACCATAATGAATTGCTTCTTTGCTTTCCTCAGACGTTGGGCGGAGGCGCCTATATGATCGACCGGCAAAGTAAGAACGGGCTTCAGTCTTCAGTTATTGCAATGGCTTCTTGGACATCCAGCCTTTGTCTCGCTTTATATATTGAAACTTACGAGAGAGAGAGAGAGAGGGAGCCTAATAGCGATGGCCTCCAACCTAATTAAGAGCGAAGGCCTCCAACCCAGAAGCAATGTCCAGGCTTTGTCTGGCTTTATTGAACTTTATCCTTCGTGCTGGTGCAACGTGCTCCTGATACTAGTTATGTATCTATATAATACTTATATACTGTATATATAGTGCCGTGACCTCAGTAAGAGCATGTGCAATTCATCTACAGTACGTCGAATTCTTTGTGATGTAGAGACAGTAGCCTGGGGCTTCGATTACGTATTCAGCCCTCAGCTAAGTAGCTGGAAAGCCACCAAGCACCGTGGCTCTGTGGCTTGTGATGCTTCATCGATGATGACCTTAGCACTCCGAAAGCATGGCGTTTCTCAGTGAGTTTGGGGGGGTGATAGCAGTCAACATTGTAAGGCATATTGAATATTGTATAAGGTAAGGGCCTCATGACTCCCACATATACGATGGTCTCCACAGATGTCCTTAGGACCTTAAGGTGGTCCAAACTTCGGTGTGTCGTACTCAAATCAAACCACACTTGGCTTTGGATTCGTGGCCGATGTATCCAAGTCACTGTGTCGAAGGAGCTCTGCAGCAAGGCATCACAGCCACAGCCAATGAGTGTCGAGCAAACAACTTCCGCTGCATCGATCAGCTCATCACTTACCTCGCACAGGCACGGCTGGAAGGGCTTTCTTGGGCGACAACAGAGTGTGCATCTCGGGTTTGATACATTTGGAGTGATTCTAGTGGCACTGTATCCACGCACTCACGTGCTTAGTGACCACGGAGTCACAGAACAAAAAACAGCCATACAAAGAAGGGCAAGGATAGGTCTGATGTGAAGGAATTTTGGTTTGTCTTCCAGTCTTGCTTGTGCTTGCTGCTCCGAACTTTCCGCTGGGTTGTCAACGGCACTTAGACCCGCCTGCTGCTCAAACTTCTGGATGTCTCGCACATGCAGCGATATATCACGATGCGCCAAGCCTTTTCCTTTCCCCTTCAGCTGTCCTGGAATGCGGAATGCGTGAAAAATGCTGACACCGTGCAGCACCGCTGGATGAAATGTATGGCCGCAAAGTGCCCGCGTCCATAGCATTCTGTGGCTACAATATCTTCTGACAGTACACACACCACTTAGAATTGAAGCACAGAGAAGCGACGCAAGCTTGTTCAACCACATAATTAACAATGAGAGCACCTCCATCACCTTCGCTTTAAGCATCAGAGTCCTGAGTACAGTGCATCTTTCACCTGCGCGAGAGCTGCCCGCCTCAGCAAAAGCCCTACCATGTCTGACTTTCCCAGGGCAATGAAATCAATGTTGGAAGTGCAACTACTTAGAGCGAGTCAGTACAGCACATGTTCCGGAAACTTTTCAGGACATCAGATTCAAGCACTTCAGAGTCAAAGCCCTTCTCGACGCTGCCAATACGGCTGTTTTGGACTTTTGACACTGAGACGCGGGCGTCTCTTCAATTTTTGCATTCCTGAAGTTGAGTCTTCCCCAGGGCATTCAGCCCACTACACTTAACCCGCACAAGCTGGAACTGTCATAATCAGCAAGCTTGAGGGATGCGAGCAAGGTTTTCATGTAATGATGTAGCAACAATACCGGGGACACTGCCTTCCAACAAATCTCATTCCTCCAAGTCCACACCACCCCCTCTAATATCCCACATGTGCATGCGGCCGGTGCTCAAAAATAGCTTAGCACTTAGCTTAGCCCCTCTGTGTTTCACGGGTTTGCCCCCGCTGCATCTCAAACTGCACGATAAGAGCTTGCCATTTCTTCGTCTCAAGCTATGACAAGTCAAGGATCAGTGGGTGTTCTTCCGCTTGCGCCAGCAGCGTGTGCTGCCGCAACTCTTGACTTACCTTCGAGGGGAAGCCGATGCGTAGTGCCTGACAAACGGCTTCGTCAATATGTTGCACAAGGTTTGAACTCCAATGCCGCAGTCGACACGCAGCTCCAGGCCTTCACTCCCAGTCGAATTAGACCAGACAGTAGCTGGTCGACTGCGACATTACCTCAATAATACTCAATAACATTCTGCACAAACACTATGCGGTGACATGCGGCTAAGCGCTGGGTGTGGGCTCTGCCTTTCACAGCTTGGCATGCTTGCAAACATGTTGCTATCTGCTGCAACCAAAACGCCACAAGATCGCAAGCCCTCCTGCTTACAGGGCACATACGATGCAAGTACGGCCACAAAGGGATATATTGAAAACAACTAAATATATATATATATATATGTTTTTTGTGTCTGTGTTCGGTTTGATCTTGTCGTGAACCTGTGAAACGTGAAGGCTGTAAAATTTGATGAAACTGAAACGGACGGATGAAATGATGTCTCGAATGGAAATTCTCCTTCTTCCTCCGCTCTACCATGCCGCTGATCATCTGGCAAGTGGTTGTTGTTTTGCCTTCTCAAGCGAAGCACAGCAGGTCGAATTACAAAGACTAGGAGTACGAAGTGGTAGGGACACAATTGATTATATATGCATATACGCATGCCGTATGTATATATATAATTTATAATTATATATATATAACAGCGCCCTGGGCTTTCTAGAGCTTTCATGATGATTGCGAGACACCCTGGATGCTTGACTCGTTCTGCAACAGGTTCGCATGAATTAGAATCTAGTCAGCACCACAGTCTCCACGCATCGTAGCACAATTCTTAATTCTTCACATGCAAATTGAGCAAATCAAAAGAAGCGCCTGTACCTGGTGGTCCTTGAATTAAGCCAAGGTTGAAGGCTTCAACAGCTTGGATGGCCGCCTGCTGAGAGGCGTTCAATTCAGCCTTAGTGCTAAGCACGCTCACCAACAACTGGGGCGAACAAATAAGAGCTTCTTGGATTGCCCCGTCACTGGACCAATGTGCTTCAAAGAAGCCTGATGGCTTGGTTCAGAGTCACCACCAGGCAAAGGCTGCAGAAACTGCTCGCCCTCCTCCGTTTTACGGACAACCAACTGCTTATCGGCATGCTGTTTGCAAAAGAAGTGAGAGAGTGGGAGTTTGTTCTGGAGTCTGGTGCATTACCTTTACGTAGGAGAAAATAATCTGTTTTCCCGGGAGATCCTAAGACAGCTGAAGATGGGAGCACAGGCAAAATGAGAGCAAGGCGGTAATTGCCTGCCTCGTTTAGCACCAGCCGCCGCATATCGGGCACCTTGTACTTGGAGCCCGTAACATATCCCAGCGATGACTTGGTCCTGGCACACAGATCCCTTGGAGTAGTGGCAGCTGTAGTTGAGTCAGAGTCTGTAGGTGTGTGATCATAGCGACCGTCATGCAACGTTACTTAGTGACGGCTGTCCTCTCGTATGCTGTCTTGTTGGCCCCACAATCCAATCGCCAACGGCCAGACAAAGTCCATGGAGGGCTGTCGGCGACGATGGCTATGCGGCTCATACCCAGCCTGGTATCGGAACTTCTTGAATGGCATCAGCTGCTTTTGACCAACTGACATTGGCTGCTGCTGAGGAACTCTATGATCTCCCCTAGGCAAAGCATCCAAAGAAAGAAAGTGACATCACAGCTTTCCAGGAACCAGTCCAGGGTTGGCATGTACCACACACAGAGACAAACGGCAAAAGTCCGCACACCCCACGTAGGACAGGACGAGCATTCCATGTGGACCTCCTCAACTGATCTTACCGCCGTTACAGTACCATTCATGACCCCATGGCTCAAGCCCAAGCCCAATCATGCGTGCCTCTCCCACTCTCCCCGAACTGCTGCACAGGTACCCTTCCACGCCTTCTTGTCCAAAGGGTTGCCTAAGGAGACGATGACTTCATCCCCAGAAGAGAACTGGTGCCTGACGTCAGGCGTTGCATTCTCTCTTATGCAACCCCGAGCAATCTACCAGACTCAACCCCAACTGCAAGGTCATGCCTTGGCATGTCCAGCTTCGAGAAAACAATCTTTGCCTTGCCGAAGAAGTTGCCTGCAAAAACCCAGGCAACTCTACCAGTGGCATGCTACGCTTTCTCTGCCAGGCCTCTCTTTCGAGCTTCCAGGTCCGTGATGCAAAATCCCTGTCCCACCAACTTGGCCAATGGCCTTGGACAAGCAGGTTTGTTGAAAAAAGAACAAGGATCATCAAGCATCCGGGATTACTGTAACATGGATGAACATCAGCCTCATCACTGTTGTGCCCGTCTGTGAAAACGAATCGGTCCCGGCTCTGATTTGAAACCATCCCAGGCTGCCCTGGTCGGACCCAAAAGCCATCAAGCTGCCAGTGCTGAAGTCGATCCTCCACGACCCGTAGCTCCTGTGCGGCTCGTCGACAGGAATTGCACTGGCTGGGATAGGCTAACACAGTTTGGTGCACTACGTTCAGATTCCTTCAGCATCACGGTTGGCACTGTAGATGAGACCGTCCTCTTGCCATTCCATCTCTATGAGGTCCTTCCACTTCTCCTTGTATGTCACTAACCAAGGCTCACAGGCCCGGCCAGAATCCTGCAGTTTCGCAAGCATCACATGGAGGCAGAGAACAAAGCGCTGTCTGTTCCTCTCCGTGCCCCTGACCGCTCTTCTTGCAATATCACTTTCAGCTGATGCTGCCAATGCCGTCAACAGTTACATTTTTACGAAAAGGGCTTCGTTACAAAAGGACTGCCGAAACAGCCTGTCCCGTGACAGATCACACCTGTCATCACTCCTCATGGTAGTCTTCTTTGTGACCCTGCTCCGCAAACTTTGCAGAGCAGCGGGCGCAGTAAAAGCTTTTGCCTTCCCATTCACCTTCAGATTCCTGAGTCCGGCTTTCTTTGTTGAAAAAATAACTTTAGCATCGATGCGAACGGAAACTGCAGGCAAGAGGCCCACTTCCTGCACTGCTTGCATTTGTGCCTCAGTCTTCAATGGCCCAAACATCCTGAATGAACCGTGTTCATGTTCAGCTGCTTGCATCTTTAGCGACAGGCCATTGAAACCGCAAGTTGCTGACGAGCTCTATACAAGTATGACTTAACTCCTGCTGCCACAGCGCTCATTGCTTTTCCATTTCGGTTCCTGGCTATCCCGCTTTCGCTTCCAGTCATTGCCACCCCAGCCGCTGCCCCACGAGCCACCGCCATAGCCCTGCCACCATGCCATCACTTGTCACTTGCGGCAAGGGCAGCCAATCAGAAGAATTCAGAAGCATGCATCTCATCTGCAGTTTCTGTAAACAAAATGCACGCACCAGGACGCACCGGGATCTGTTGGCAGGTTCACCTGGATGTCGATTTGTTGGAGTTGCTCTTCAGGGCTAATTAAATTTGAACGACCCTTTGCCTGTTGCAGCTCCAAACCCTGAGAATGTAGGTCTGGTGTCTCTGGACATGCCGACTTGAACCTTCTAAAAGGGAACAATCAAACGGGTGGGTTCTGAGACTTTCTGCATTGATTCAGAACGTTCTGCAATTCTGCTTTGGGATGCTTACGATGGAGAATAGAAGTGCCCTGTGCAAGCCACAAGCTGCGGTACATTATCTACCACCTCCCGGACTGAGGCGCAATTTAGTAACTGAGGATAGCTGGATAGCTGCTTGCTGGCTCGGAGCCAAGCAAGAGCCATTCTGGCATCACACCAGGACTCTCAAAGAGAAGATCTGACTGTAAACATGCTTGAGCCAACTTCTCATTCTGAATGATTGAACACTTCATGATGAAAGCTGGCACTTTCTTAACAAGGACCCAACTCAGAGAAAAAGCCTGAGGTGTTTTGTCTACCAGTGTCTTCTGACGACCCCAGCAGCTTCCATGAGGGCAGTCTCCGATAATGCATCCTGATGATTCGGATCTGCTCGTGCCTGGACGCGAGTTGCGGAACCGGGTGGGTCATGATGGGCCACCTTGCCCTTTCTCATCCAGTTTGGCTCACATAGGATCGACATGGATCGACTCTGTCTTTCTCCTCGCGACTCAAACAGTGTAGCAACTGCACCTGTAGAAGCACCTCTACGACATCCGCAGTCGCTTGCGCTCTGACCTGACCGGTTTCCCCAGAGCTGCTGGACTAGCGCAGCTTCAGGGGGGCTGCTTCGAAAACTAGGGATCCAAACATGTTTCAACACATTTCACAACTGAACACACATCGCAAAATATGAGAAATTCCTGGAGATTCCTTCCAGGAGCACATCTAGAATCTTATAGAATTCTCAAGTTTTTAAATACATCCCGGTAGGACTCTTAAGAATATGAAGAAGGACCCTCACTGAGTATGACTGAGTCACAAGCAGACTCCCCCGACCTTTCTGTGTTTGGTTCCCGAACCGCGGCCAAGAGCGGCGTCTCCCCGAGCACGTTGGAGGTGTCGACCGGGGAGTTGGCGTCCACCAGCAGCTGCGCCAACCGCGGCTGAGCACCTGGCAACAACGCATCAGAACGGAGTTGCTGAGGAATCTTTTCGGAGCCTTATCCTGCAGCCCCGTTTGAAATGTGGAGAGGCTGCAATGCTGAATCAATGTTACAAGCAGTTGAGACATGGCTAAACTTGGAACCTCAGGCCCGAATTTCTGGCATGGCCCGAAAAAAGGCTAACTAAGGAATTCTCAGCAGCTGGAAGCTAGCCTGGGCATCGCTACTAGTAACAAGGACATTACTACTGGTACTAGTAGCCAGAAGCTACTAGATGCTACTAGTAACAGGGGCACCGCTAATACTAGCAACAAGGGCTAAGGCTGCTAAGGAATTCTCAGGATCCAAGAATCCAAGAGTTGCACCTCCTGACCGCAAGCATTCTTTTCTCGCGGTGGCAATAGTTTCGTCTCTCCACTCGACCTCTTCGCTCTATTAGCATTCAACCCCCGGCTGGGCCAAAGCAACGTTACTGCTGTGATCACTGTCAGATGTCTAATTAGGTTGGCGAGTCATGTCATGTGGAACAAACTTGGAACAACTGGGTCAGCAACACCTTACCAAAACTGTCTCAATTGCACGGCCGGTCGCAGTTGGCCGTCGGAGCAAATGAATACAATTGCCCTCCCCGCGAGGTGCTACCAAGCAAGGAGGGCAACGGCGCTATCTTGGTGGGAGAACAGCATTAAAAGGACCCAAGTCGTCATCGTCCTCTTGCGCCGGAAGAGCTGGCTTGTTCCGAAAGACGTCATTGAAGGGTCCTAGGTCCAAATCATCCTCGACGCCTGCGGTCGTGCGCGGGGCATAATGCCTAAGATATTCAATCCGAAGAAGGGAGGAAAAAAAAACGGAACTGATGCAATGATGGCAGCTTGAACCCGATTGCCAAACTTCGCTCAACGGGCCTTGCCCACGAGATGGCCAAACGTTGGGGTTTCACACCCGGCAGGATTGAGGTAGCTAGATTTCAGAGTACGCAACCCATGACAACCCAGCATTGTGAGTTATTGCTGCAGGGCATCACCGTTGGCCTGCTGAAGAGCAAACACGACAGCAAACGACAAACAATACACAATGACACCACCACAAACGAGCAGTAACACGTCCCCCTGGCCAGCGGCCCGACCAAGGATCCCGGCCAGTGGCCCGACATGACAGCAGAGAAGCAACAGGTAACACACATTATGATAACGCCAAAGGTGGCACTTGACAACGCTGAAGGACAAAAACGGTGACAAGCAACAAAGAATCAAACAACGAAGAACGAAACGTACAATGACAACAAATCTAAGTATACATATATATAATATATAACATTATCAAACTACCACAACCTACCCTAGAACCCCTTTACGCTACCACATCGCGGTTCATATTGCCTCAAACCTGGTCAGGTGGGGGTGGCTCGAAGAAAAGTAACTTGGATCATCTTGTATCGTCGTATTTTTGCACTCTTGGATTTTGCAACACCTGCTTCAACGCTTTCTAGTCTAGCAATGTCTAGCATGTAGCATGTCTCAGTCCTGGTTTGGGCAGGATGTCATTGAACGGCCCCAGGTCCAAGTCATCCGCCGCAGGTGCCGAGGGCATGGCGGGTGTGCTGGAGCCCCTCTTGGGCGGCAAGATCTGGCGGCCAGGGAGGGAAAAGGATGAAAAAGGAACTCTTTTGGAGGCTGCCGGGCTTAAATGGTTTGATGAGTTTGGCGATTCAAGTAAGTGGGTGATGCCATTAGTTGTGTCATGTTGTGTCAATATGCGCAAAATCATCCGACCGTCTTAGTTGGTCAAGTGGCACACTGACCAACACTTTCTGTAGTGTGCCACGGGGTGTTTTTCGAAGCTTCTCACGTTCAGAAGGCGAGTCGAACATGCTCGGAGCATGTTCTGAGCCTCTTCCTTGCCCAAAGGCAGTTGAAACTCGACACCAGCACCCTCGGCTTGTGCCCCTCCTGGTTGAAAGGACCCAGGTCAATGTCATCTTCTTCAGACCAGCGGGATTTGCGAGGCACCTCGGGTCGCACACACATGCACACACCAAAGGATCCGAATGGGATCCTGCAAGAGTCAACGAAAAAATACGAAATAACAATTTGTCTGTCTGTCTTGTAAAAATATGTAACATGTTCTGGACAAAACCCTCTTGTCTTGGGAGCCTGGCCTCGCTTTCAGCCTCATGCTTTGGTGGTGCTGGTGGGGTCTCCTGACATGGGCAGTCCTCGCAGCCTGTAGGTGAGCTAAAAAAACTAACCGTTCTAAAGTCACTGTCCGAGCGTTGGCTTTCATGTAGACGACATCTGCTCACGTATATGGTTGTATGTTGCGGGTGCCCCTTTCATAGCTACATCCTGACTTACAGGTCGAACGGCTCCAAATGTGAAACTGAAAGTAGCAGTCCTCTCATAAGCAAGTTGTTCCTATCATTTTTCTCTCTATTCGTGCGTACAAAACCCCCGACCCCAGCTGCCCTTCCCGTCTTTTTACCCACTCTCATCACCCCAGCGCAATGTCGTGCAGGCAATCCGCTTGTATCTCTTTAGTGTATTGAGTAGTAGCCGTGGTAAGCAGTTGGCCAAGTGGTCAAAGTTGCAAAGTGCTCTAGCACGCATCTAGCACGGGTCTAGCGCGGATCTAGCACGCTCCCCCGCCAGCGCGTCAGGCCACCAAACGGCTGTCATCAAGAGCACGCGTTGCGGTCTGCCGGTTTTCCTAGCTTTGAAGTCGTTATACAATAGTTTTTCCACGCACAAAGAATCCAAAACACAATGGGAGCATGCCCGCAGTGGATGGGTGGGTGTCGGTGGCCCCTGCTTACATAAACCAATCACAGCCAAACCGGCCGGGTTGTCCGTTCATACCTCAACAAGTTTAATTGCCAATGTGTGTATGTGTTGTTTGTTAATCTTACCTAAGTTTTTGAACCTAGCGCCAAACCTAGCGCAACCCTGTGTTTTGCTAGCACGACAAGGTAGCATCTCCAAGTTAAGCAACAGAATACCAAGCGGTGGCCAAGCTATTTCTGAACCTCTGGGAACCTTCCTTACTTAATACTAAATACATATTACCGGGTCTATTTTTTCAACTCAGGTGGGGAGACATCATGAAATGTTGATAAATTTTGAGTACATTGCGCTGAACTCGTTGTGTCCACAAGTTGCACAAGATTCAAAAGAACTGAACACGACATTAAACGTGACAAGGGGTACAAGCAACAACGCCGAGCAATAGTTGCTGAGGCTTTTGTTGCGCATCACTGTGAAAGGGAGTGTTGCAAGGTCAGACCATCGACGACTGCTTCCAAATGCTTCCAGTATCTTCCAGCATGTTGCTAGGGTGCCAACCCAACACATGCTTGTGATTGACCGGAGTGAACCGCGCACTTGACTTGATGTTTCGACTAGTACTAATAAGAAGCATCACCCTCAGACCGTTGTTCCCATTAATGACAGTTGAGGCGTAAATGCTCACAAACCCCCACACGCGCGGTAGTTGACCGGTGACTTTGGGGTTCAGTGTCCTGCGTCACTTCAATGAAGCCAAAGAATGGCGAGAAGCGGCATGCCTGTCGCTTGACGGAAAAACTTCTGCCACTCGCTTGCTTTTGGATCAGCAGCTCACAAACTGATATACTGTCATACCCTCATTGTCATATATACCTAAGTCGGACACTTAGTGCACAGGGCGCTTAGCAACTAAGCCTTAGTTGCTGAGTCCTACAATATTGGAAATCGCTTCAGTCGCTTGTTCTCCCATCAGAC